TTGATACTTCTTCATTTGTATCAATTCAGTCTCACAAAGGCATCTAAAACTGTTCTAAGACTGGCCCATCAATTTTTCCTGCTTGAATCAGACCTTGGCATCCTCCTGTGGTGCTGATTGGCCAGTCATGCTAAATGCTGGGTGAAACCATTGTAGGGTCACAAAGGATTCTACTGAGATTTCAAAGAAATGCCTGGAACACCAGGAAATGTGTAGCAAGTGTTAGAGTCTCTGCAACAAGCTTCTGAGAGGAACTGCCTCTATGAGATTGGCCTCTGTCTTAATTGGGGTTTCTATTGCTCCAATGAAATATATAACCAAAACACAAGTTGGGTAGCAAATGATTTATTAGGCTTAAACTTCCATATTGCTGTTCATTATGGAAGAAAGTCAGGACAGGAACTTGAATGTAGCAGAAACCTGAAGGCAGGAGCTAATATAGAGCCTGTCATGGGGTGCTGCTTATAGGCTTGCTCCCCATGGCTTGCTCAGCCTACTTTCTTAAGAACCTAGTAACAATATCTTAGTGATGGTATGACCTGCATTGGGCTGTGCACTTCTCCATCAATCACTCATTAAGAAAATGCCTGACAGATGCATCTTTTGGAGGGATTTTCTCAGTTGAATTTCCCTCCTTTCAAATAACACTAGCCAATGTCAAATTGATGTAAAACTAGCCATCACAGCCTTTACGTCTGAAGGGTATTTTATTGTTGGCTAATTGATGTAAAAGGGGCCATCCCATTGTGGGTGGTACCATTCTAGGCAGGGCTCATACAAGTAAGGTAGCTGTACATGATCCAGGACAATCCAGTAAGTAGCATTCCTCCATGGATTCAGCTTTAGTCCCTGCCTCCAGGTTTCTGCTTTGAGTTCCCTTGATGATGGACTGTGATTAGGATGTGTAAGCCAATTAAGCCATTCTTCCCCAGGTTAGTCTTGGTCGTGGTGTTTTATCACAACAGAAAGCAAACTAGAATGATGCCAAAAACATACACTGGGGAAAATATAGTTTCTTCAACAAATAGTGGCAAGACAATGAGATATCCACATGGAAAAGAAGGAAACTAGTTTCTGACCTCAGATACTGTACGAAAATCTGTCTGATAGACATTTATTAAATGGAATTTCTTATTCTCACTCTTTGGTATCAAATGAAAGCTTCCTGATCAAGAGAAATATACTGAAATGTTATATGAGGCCTTGCTATTATTGTGGTTAAGAGGTCTAAGCATTAACTGTATGTATCTAAAATCATGGGTGAAGTAAATACTCATAATTATGTGTAAAAGGCAGGGGGATAGAAAGGAAAAAAGAGAGAAATGGTTGATGAAAGAAATTGGGTTGTTGCAAATTTCTATATATTCTGGTTAGTACCCTGTCTTGTTCCTTCTCATATAGAAAAGCAGATATATAGGATCTGTGATTCACTCAGCCCACATGAGAGAACCTTCTTTTTGTAGTAGACAATATACAATGAGTAAGAGACTTTGGTATGTTCAGTTCTAAATGGGATGCCTTCATCAAGACATCAAGGGATGTCCCCTCCACTCAAGAGAGGTATCTATGCAGAAGAGGAGGCAGAAAGATTTCAAGAGGTGATGGATGAGTTCAAGGTAATAGTGTCTTCCTGACATAGCACAAGAACTCACAGTGACAGTTGCAGTCCATTCAAGATCTGCACAGAATCAAGCCAGATAGGGTTCAGCACTGACAGAAAAAGTAAAAACAGTCTCCCATAGCTAAAATAGAAGCTATCGGAAACTGATACTCACTGGCAAAGGAAAAATCAGTTCTCTCCAATGGAATGTCACTGGGTATATCATACTCCAGAGTATGTACCATGCCCAAGATTAATTGGCCAACACATAAGGAACCCTGCTTGAGATACACAGAGAGGGACAGAGAGAGAAAGAGAGAACATTTTGTTTCCTTTGGGAAAATGTATATATTCAATTTGTTCAATGCCACAGTAGCACTGTCATAATGAAAGTCATTACTTTGTATATTCATTATAAGAATTTTAGAGATTAAAACAAAAATCAACACTACACAAAGCCCTGAAATATATATTTCATTTATAAGAAGCTCTGAAGTCAGGAGGTTTGTTATTGACAAAAGAGCCATCATGTATCAAGGTTGTGTCTGTATTCTCATTGTTAATGAACACACATCTTTTCATGCTGTTGTCTCGTTGTTTCAAGACATCTACAGCACCAGAAGCCTCCAATCAGTTTGAAAGAAGGAACTAGGCAAAATCAGAGAATTGGTTGTTTTTGGTTCAAAGGTTTTGTCATATTTTCCTGAGTAGGATGCATTGCTCTTCTTTTTTTATTGATGCCTCTGGGAACTAAACCAGAGTCTCCTGTTACTGAAAGGCTGACTTTTAAGCCAGTTCATTACTGACACATATAAAATCAGGATTGCTGAGGTCAAGGCAAACATGGAGAATGAGTGAGCATGTGACTATACCTACCATGTTCATTTGCTAGAATATATAGAAGGATGTCATAGACAAAAAGAAACAAAACAAGGTATCCAGTGTAAAATGTCAGCAGCATGGGAAAGGAAAACCAACTAACAAATAGATGCTTAGCTACAGCAATAAAGAGAAGTGGAAACGAAGTCAAATTCAGATATATTTCACATTTCTGAGAATGCTATTTGGGTAAAATAGTAAATGGGAATATTAGCAATTAACCAGGGAGTTTTTGTTTTTCAGATTATAGTATAATTACTTCACTGATTTCTTCCCTTTTCTTCCCTCAAACCATCCCATATGCTGCTGCTACTGCTCCTTCTTCTTCCTCTTCCTCTTCTTCTTCTTCTCTTGATTGGATTTGTTGTTTGAGACAGGGTTTCTGTGTGTAACAGCCCTAGCTGTCTTGAAACTCACTCTGTAAACCAGACTGGCCTTGAGCTTATTGAACTTACAGAGATCCATTTACTTCTGCCTCCCAAGTGTTGGGATTGTGGCATGTGCCACCAGGCCTGGCTCTTCACTTTCCTTCTAATCCATTGCCTCTTTTTTATTAATTGTTATTTAATTAATATATGGATTTGGAAGTGTGTGTGTTCCTAAATACAACCTCCTCGGTCTGTATGATTTTAGAGCTGAACATTTGGTGTTGGATAATCAAAGGGTGTGCTCTTCCCAAGGTAAGACTATTTCTCCCACTCTCAGTATGCCTTAACAACATGTAGCCATTCTGGAAAGTCCCTGCGAATTACTATCTGCATACGATGGGAATACATAACATTTGATCACAAATACTATTAAAAGACAATTAAAATATAGCAACAATTGTGACATGCATTAACAACTTAATTGTCTCTCAAAATGACGAGGGAATTTGACATAATCATATATTGCACTGCTAAAATTGGCAAAAATGAATTCACAATAACTAAATATTTAAAGTACACAAATTACAGACTTCCTAGTTGAAACCTTTTATACTCAATTATTTTACTTAAACGGTATAAAAGTCTGATGATTAAATAAACATGCTGTGTAGTGCTATCTGTATATTTAGCAAAATTTTAAGTAGATGAAACTAAAAAATATATTAGTAGCTTCTTCTTTGGGATAAAAGTAAATAATATTCTACTTCTTAAATATATACTAAAAACATAAGTTTTACTTGTATACATGGACATTTTGTCAGGGCATAGATATATAAATAAAAATAAGTGCATATATACATATATATTATGTAACTGTGAATGTGTTCAGTATTTCTTAATAATTTTAATAATAACTAGAAAGTTGGTGATTATTTACTTTTTTACACAAATTCAGGATCAGGAAGAAAAGGAAACAAAAAGGACTGTAAAATTGTGAAAATAATGGATGACTTAGTCTCAAAATTAGTTTGATTACCCTCTGATCAGACTATTTTAAAACACTAATAATATTTTGACCATTTCAGGCATGTTTGAAAACATAATGGAATCAAAATACAGGCAAAGGCTTTAGAATTTATATAAAAACTATATATAAGACATACATATATAAAAATTATATATAAGACAAGGGTTTAAAGATGTCTTTGAGATGAATGTAGTTTTGAACTGGCTAGTATTACACTGGCTGTGTAGCTCTGAAGCTGTGTTGGAGATGATTGCATCATTCTCTTAACAGATTTCAGGTTTCTTCAGAAAAGGGGCATGTGTGATTCTTCTGGTGCTTGCACTGTGTGCATTGTGTATTGCTAAGTCCATCTGAGGCATTAAGCAGCAGGGCATGTCTAGCCACTGTTGCTGTGGCATTAAGTTGATGATATAAAATTACCCATTATGGGTGACATCAGGAGCATCACCACAGACCTCGATGCTGCTGCCTGGAGGGGAATGGGTGGATGAGCTAGGACAGGAAACTGAAGAAGTGTGAAAAATGAGACGATATAGTAAAAGTAGGCAAGCAGAATAAAATACAAGTTATAATAGGAGAGAAGGGAGGGAGTCAGACATTTTGGTTTTAGTGGAAATTGGAAGGGCATGATCTTTTCTGGTTCAACAATGAGACCCTGTTAATGTCATTATTACACAAGTATTTAAGATTCAGTATTGAATGTATCATGACCTTGCCCTTTTCCCTTCTCTCTAGTTTACATATCCTGAATTCATCTTTAAAAACTGATGTAGAATCTTCATCTATGTTTACCTAAGTCAAAAGTCTCCCTAGACCACCTCTTTAGCATCCTTGGTATGCAGTTGGTTCGGTTGGTATTGCACTTTCACCTCTTAAGTCATACTCTTGACTTTCATTTTAATACCAATGTATGGAATCAAGTTTCACTTCCCTACCATGGTTCCAGTGATGGCTCATAACATTGTCCTGTGTTGCTACCAAATCTGTGTACCCCTTTAATGATTGATTCCCCAGCAACAACACTTAGTTTCTCAAAGTACTTCATTAGTGAGTCTTAACAATTCTGTTCATATATACAGGCACACCCTACTATTGGTGATTTCTATTCTTTCTTTTTTTTTTTTTAATGTGTTTCTGATATAGACACTAACAGGGACACTGAAGGAGGCCCCTTCAGTGAATCAAGGCCAGCAGATTATCTTTGAGAACTGTAGCACACCAGGACAAGCACCATGTCAGGATGTGACTCTAGTTTCAGTGAGATTTCCTTTAACATAAACCTGTTTCATTGTTGTGGGAGTTTCTGGAGCCAACCTAAGCCTTCAGGTTTAGCTGCTTTTTATCTTTTTATTTTTATTTTTATTTTTAATTATGAAATTGTTGGCCAATGGCTTGGGCTTCTTATTTACTAGCTCTGTCATAATTACTAACCAATTACTATGAATCTATGCATTTCTATATGGTCTTATCTTATCGGACAACACCTGACTCTCATCCTCTCTTTCCTGGCTCACATCCAGCCTGCTTTCTGCCTCGACTTCCCAGAATTCTCCTCTTCTGGTAGCCCAACCTACCCTTCTTTCCTGGCCACTAGCCACACAGTGCTTTATTCATTAACTAATAAGAGAAACATATGTACAGAAGACACCCCATCATTTACAGCTGCTTTTTAAATAACAAAGAACAATACAGGTTAATAACCCATAGCTAGCAATTTTCAGCAACCTCCCATGAGTGTGTGTGTGTGTGTGTGTGTGTGTGTGTGTTCGTGTCCCTGTCTCCTGCCCTCTCTTGTCTTCCTCTTTCCTTTGAGACCAAGTCTTCCTAGGCAGCCAGGCCTACCTGTAAACACTACTTCACATAGTTTATCTCAAGCTCATGACTTTCCTACATCAACCTCCCCCACCTTCCAAATTGCATTTATTGCTTCTAAGACATTAAATCCAAAGGATCGATACTCAGATCTCTTAACCACAATAATAGCAAGGTCTTACACAGTATTTTAGTACATCTCTCTTGCCCAGGAAACTTACATTTACTATCAAAGAAAGAAAATGAGGAATCCTATGCAATCAATGTCTCACACGTGGATTTTCTTTAATCCTTTCAGCTTTCAGAAAAGGAGACATGTCAATGTATCATCATATGAATTTTTATAGGATTTTCATTTCAATGGCTTAGTAAAGATGACATTTCTGAGCTACAGTGCAAAAACAGCTCAGTTCCAATTGTAATCCCAGGAGGGAATAAATCAGAATAGGTGGATACAGACCGAGGAGAGGCAAAATCTAGGAATGAACATAGACACAAAAGACCTCAATATTTTCACACTAGGAAAAACAAAAGCCAGTATATAAACAGGGCTTATTAGAATAGTTTCTAGCAATGCAGATGTGCCTGGACAGAGGCCCGATAGTGTTCCTGCAACACTGATTTCCACATCTACAGAACTCTTTCTTCTATGACTCCACCCCAGCACCAGTAAAAAGTTGAGGTTTAGTACTTAAGCCTAAAAGCATGCCATGATACTTCTATGTTATTTATCACTTTCACTAAATGAAGTTTGGGCAAGTGCATTGCAACACTGAAACACAACTTGCCTGTCTCAGGCTCTAAGTCTACCCAATGCCTTCACACAATAAAGGCCATGATGGGGTGCCTACCTATTCTCAATGTTTTGAGGAAGTTATCTCAGGTAAGCATTACCTGAGGCAGATACCATGAGTCATAACTTCTGGATTCTGAAAGTTCAGAACAGTTACGATAACCTAACCAATCAATACAGCAAGCATGTGAGAAAGCAAAGGTCTCATTTGTGGTCCCCTGGATGCTTTTTCTAATGTCCTACATATGAATAAGTCATTACTGACATTATGATTACATGATGTGTATCCTTTTTTTCTAATAGTGGAAAGCAGGTATCAAGGAGAAAAAATACTTCAAATGAAAGAATAAAAAAGAATAAGGAATGGAATCTTGGTCCTCTGCTATCCCAAATCACAGAGAAGAACCTACAGAGTCAGTAAAAGAATAGTGACATAAATTAAAAGACAAAAACATCCTTCCTCATGGGCTGAGTATATAGCTGAGTTGGTAGAGTACTTGTCTAGCATACAGAAGAAGCCTGGCTCACCCAGTGTGGTGGTACATACCTAGGCAGGAGAACCAGATGTTCAAAGTCATCCTCAGTCACATAATCTGAGGATGACCTGGCTATATGACAAGAAGGAAAGAGATAAAGGAAGAAAAATGATACTCAGCATCGATATTGAAGGATTATTCAGGAAAGGAGAAGAAAGTGATTTCTTGATGACTGAAATAAGTACCATTTTCTCCATAAATAATTGTTTCAACAATTTGCATCCAACTTATTACAGTTTAGTCAACAGAGAAGGTGCTTTTGAGATCAGGCCATGTTTTATCATAGACTCCCCAGACTCACTCTCCACACAATCCTGGAGTTGATAGAGATGCTGATCAATTTTTTGAAGTCTACTATGTAGTCAGTGCTCTACCAGTGATGCATCACACAGGTCTGACATTAAAGTTTATACAAAGGTGATATGATCACCCTTTTATATTAAAAAAAATTATTATATAAAACACTTTTAAGTATCAAATTGAATTCTGTAAGTATCCAAGGAGAAGTTCATGTTTTTGCTTCCATTAGAAGCTTGCCTAGCACCTTCTTGTACCATGGAAGCTAGTCCTCAGGGAGAAGACTTTCAAGGAAGATGCAGCTCAGGTCCTCCAGGTCCTATGTTCAAAGTTCATGGCATCTTCGGCAATACAGACTTGCTTTCTACCTCTGGGGGACAACCAAGGGTAATAGCAATAGTCTGTAATGTTTGGGTGTCTCTCAGACAACCCAGAGCAACAACTAAAAAGAGGGCTTCTCGTGCCTGGTGTTGGGGGTTTTGATAGATGGTCCATGGCTCTTTGGGGCAGCATAGTCAACAAAAATAGAAATCTTTTATTTAAACTATATAGATACATACAGACATACATGTATTGTTAGGTAATTAATAGTTTGAATCCTTATGTCTTTTTCAGATAGCATTACTGTTATTTTACCTTCTTTTTTTATCTCCTTCCTCTTCACTAATTAAAGTACCTTCATTTTGTTAACTAGCCCCAGGTAATATGTACTGCTACTTCCTTCTCTAGTGTTCTTCAACTTGACATCAAGTAAAAGAGTTGACACTGGGCTACAACACAACACAACATCCAGAGAATTATTTTTAAAGTGATAATTTTCATCTTTTTGTTGTCAATGTTGTTGCCTTTGTTTTCTTTCATGGTCTCAGACAGGATTTTATTATAATACTTTCTTGGTCTGGAATTTACCAGAGAGGTCAGGTTGGTTTATAATTTTCAGAATCCCTCCTGCCTCTGCCTCTATCTCCTGAGTGCTGAGGTCACAGGGTTTTACTGTCATACCTGACTACTGCAACTTCTTGAGTCCTGTTGTCATTGTACTGGGACTCCCTATGCAATAATGCTTTCCCTTATACAGTTAAAGTATATAACAGTATATTCCTGAGAGAACTTTAGCTTCGGGGGAGATTCTGCAGTGCCAGAACTCCTTTCATGGTAATACTTACAAATTGCCTGATAATGTGCACAATAACAAATTAGATGGTCAAGTTTTGACAATTAAATTGCATACAGCTCCAAACGTCATCATCACAAAACTGAAAATAGATAACACTAGAATGTGAATCCAGCTAAAGGAATTTGAAGATTTACAGTTTGCAAGCTATCACAGAAGACATAAATTATATTTGGAGTTGAGTTAGGGGTCAATTTAATAACTAAAGAGACATGGAGATCTTACAATGTAAATATAATTACTAACCTCCTTTTCTGGAGCTTGAAGGTCATTAAGAAACCTCTGATACCACCACTCCCAGGTCAGTATCAACAAGAGAAAGGTTTGGACCCAGCTGATTATACACAAATAATTTCAAACCCCAATTAAGCTAAGATACAGAGAGCATATACTTTAAAATGTCAAATGTTTAATAGTAAGTAATGCATTACCTGCACAAATCTAAACCAAGATGATATAAATTATATGATACTCATATAAATTTTTAAAAATCCTAATTGTTGGTAGGAAATACTTCATTCAAAGCAACCATTGCTATATTTCTGAACTCATAATTCAACAATAGAAAATATATCAAACATCAAAGAAGGGGATTACATCAATAAAATACAAGGAATAGCTTTTAGGCATAATACCTGTGGCATATGTCAAACTATACACATTTTGTTTCAAAAGTCTATAACAAATTCCACCTTTAAAATTGCAGTTTCTTTAGCCCTATATGAAAACAGCAAATTCTATCCCACAGGCTTCCATATTCATAACTAAAATGGAACCATGCTAAAGCAATGATAATGTATCCTTTTATGACATTGTTTCCTCTGAGGAAAGCACTTTATGGTTTCTTTTATTCTTCTGAAATTTTAGTGAAAATCAGAACACTTCTTGCCTTTTAAATTGCAAGTACAAATAGCACATAAGACAGTGCCAGTCAAACCAAAAGAATTCTACCCTGTTAAAGAGCCAGGGGGTCTGTGTCTGTTGCCAAAGGCCTTCCAGATTTAATCATTGTGATTTCATAAGTCTGGAAAGAAGAAGAAAAGAAAGTTTTTATTCCTCTGGATGCTACAATGAAGTTTTAATGTTGAAGATATTGGGTCCTGAGGGATTTACAATGGAAGACTTTAGCTTGCTACACCTCTAAGTTTTGAAGCTGCAAAGACTATTAAAATAAGAAGAATGTAAAATGGCAAACACCTTGATGCAAGGCCTTTGCAGCAGGATTTAGTGTTAAATGAAGCCAACCTATTTCCACTTTGTAGTTTTGATAGATGTCCAAAGGGCTTTTTGAAAGTAAAACAAAATGAAAGGAACAAAGGCTGAGAGATCATTTCACTGGGAGACCCTTGGTTTATACAGTAGTTCAATTTTGGCAAGTCAATATCAGAAAACTCAAGAAATACTAAAAGGGTCTATTCCTTCAAAACTCATTTCATCTCTCATCCAACAGCGTACTCTAATGTGTTCATTTCATCATTTCCTGAAATTAGACTTCGCTTATATTCTTATACTTGAGGAGACATACCAGGTTAGCTCCAGTCTATAAAAGTATAAATATACTGCCTTAAAACATAACTCTAGTATTGTGAATGTACTAATTTCACTTGAATGAATTAGCTTGTAAGGAAATCTTTTTGAATATATATT